TTTCCCTAGGGTCACCCTCATGATCAGGCAAAATCCGTCTATCAAGCAGTCGCTGTAGGTTGCCCACGCCGCTTTCTGTTATAAGCTATGCCTGAGACAGAGGAAAATGTGTTGCTTTTCAATAATTACCTAAACGTCAGGTATCTTCTCAGTCTTTAAAACACTGTTTTGAGGGGAAAATTATTTTAATAGGGTTGTAAACTGATGCAATGAGAGAGGCAGATAAAAATTTGACTTTGCTGTGCTCATTTTCTGCTAGAACAGAATAAATAACAGAGTTGGTTTTGTGAAAGTGTAAGGTGCAAAATGAAAATTAAAGCATTAAAATGCAGATAGGCTGGTATATACTTTGCGCAAGCTGAGGTGGACAGAGACGTTTAGCCTCTCTTGAAGGAACAGGCAAGTGTTGTCACCGTGTTTGAACACAGTCTTCTGTGTTGGAGGAGGGTTGTCAGATTTGGCTTGGGAAAGAACAAAAAAGACCGGAGTAAGGAGCTGATCCCTGTGTAGTGGAGTCTTTTGGGGGCTCAGAGAGACTTTTTTCCTCTTCTGTTTTTTTTCTCCCCTACAGCGGAGGCAGTGTGTTGCAAGTGTTGGCTGTGCTTGGTGAGCCAGTGGTTGCGAGTCTGAACTCCTTTCTCTCTTGAAATGAGACAGAAGAGTGTGCTTGTGTATTTGAAGACAAATGTCTTGATGGGACAGCATTTGGTAGAAATAGAAAACAAAATGTAATAGAAAGGAGAAGAAAGAGAGAGTAAAATAATTTGAAAACAGGAAACTTGCTGGGGATGATTGGACTAAAGTAATTTGTTAAAACCACTGTTCCTCTTCAGAAATAATTGTTACAAAAGCTGTTACTATTTTAACAGTTGTTTAATGTGGTTTTTAATTTTTTTGAGCCAAGTGCAATGTGGGTCTTGCTGTGGCTCTGTAGCCAGCAGCTCCAGCGTGCCATGCCCCTGCGGGTTGTGTGCTGACAGCTGTGGCTCCAAGACCAGCCCATAGAGAGGTGTCTCCAGTGTTGTACGTCCCTGATGCTTTAGAGCAGGTCGCTGTGGGGAGATGGTGCAGTGAACACAACACACATTTGTTTTCCAGGATAGTGATATTCCAGGACAAAGGAGTAGTAGTTGGCGATTCCAGTTACAACATCATTTGCTTTTTTTTTTTTTTTTTCATTTTTCTCCCCACCAAAGATAGGAGTCAACCCAACTAGTGTTGATCTCGTGAATATCGGCAAGGATGAAGAGGTGAAAATGAAGCCAGGCCAGGTTCTGCATATTGTGAATAAACTTTATCCCTACACAGTACAATTTGGTGAAGAGTCAGGGAAAACTCTTACAGAAGCAGCAGAGAAAATACAGGCCAAGAGGATGCCATGTGAGGACGATGATGTAGAGCTTGTGCCCAGAAAAACAATGAAGATGGAGGTGGTGGATACACAAGGCAGTTCTGCAAATCCCAAGCTAAGCAATAGTGGTGTATCTCCACATGAAGGACCTTCGAGCAAAAAGGCAAGTGTGTTGGTATTAGTACTTGCACTGTTTCTCCTGGGGTTGTCTCCTTCGTCAGGGCTGTGGTCTTCTGTGGGTGCTACTGGTGGGGAAGCATCCTGGGTGAGCACAGATCCTCAGAGTATTCAGTGCACGTGAGCTGACATGCACTGAGGCAGACTCTGCTCCTGATATCACTGAGGTCCTGAGAAAGTTAGGGACCCATTCTGACCTGGGCTGGGAAGTGGGTAGGTGTGAAGGAGCTTGCTTGTAGCGAGTGAGGGTTTAGTCTCTGGTTCCTGCTGCAGCTTCTGCTGGAAGGGCAGTCCACATGCACTCAGTGTAGCTGCAGTGGCGCAAAGATACTGTCCTGGCTCTTGAGGTGAAATCTGCTGTGTTACAAATAGAACAGTGGTTATCTACAAGCTTACGCACAGAGAACAGAACAACTTGACCCTACATATTTTTTTTTTTATTTCTTTGGGCTTTTTCCTCCTCCTGGTCATTCCTTACAGTAGAATGATGTTTATGTTAATGAATGTTACGAGCCAAAATCTTTTGAAAGGGAGTTTTTAACCCTGTTGACACAGACAAAATAAAAGACTGCTTAGTGCATCTGGAACTATAACAGTAGAGTTGCTGGAGGAGAAGACACAGAAATTAAACCCCTCAGGACAAAATTTCAGTCCCAGGTTGTGGTGGGTTAACCACTTAGTTTGTGAACTCAGGCTGGTTCTATTAGGGTCAGATTTGTGGTGGTATGAGCAGGCAGGCAAGACGACTCACACTGTTTCTCTGTTAGCATGGTAATAATGTTTGAACATCTTACTCTGTAAGACAGTGATGAAGACAATAATGCCTATAAAGTGATCTGAACAGATAAAACATTATCTGTTTTGAAAACGGTGCACTCGAGACAACCTTGCATTAAGTGTTCAGTAACCAAGTTAAGAGATATCTGCTAGTGTTGGCTTGGCCTTGCTGTGCCTATCTTGTTTTCTGTACAAGCCACTCCTTGCACAATATCAAAAATTAAATGCATCTAAGAGCAGGGCCACACACCACAACTACTTCTTTCTTCTGTGCAGAGCAGCATGTGATAGGACAGTCAGTGGAGGTCCTTATACTTCCTTTGGTCCTTGTGATCTGTGAAGCAGAGGGTCTTTTAGTAAAATAATCTGTCATCAATAGTAATCCAGGACTGTGCCATAATATGTGCATGCAAATTATTAAATTCAGAAAGGTCTAGAGCTCTCTGCTGTTAAATTTCCAACATTTGAATGACTGAGCTTTGAATCTTAACAGTATCTTGTTAAAAGTTTTCAGAAGTACCTTTGTGGGGGCAGTTGGAGTAGGTGTGTTGGCATTTATGGAAAGGAAGTAATTCAGCTGTCATTCAGCTGTTATTTTACTGTTGTATACTAATGAAAGTACTGAATGCTTTAAAACATATAATTTGATTCTTAATTCTCTTATAAAAATTTTTTTTTTCCTTCTGTGCTTTAGGAACATTTAGGGCACTGGAGTCAGGGCCTGAAGAGCTCCATGCAAGATCCAAAAATGCAGGTAAGTGCTGTACACTGTACTTTACAGTAGTTCCTGTCTAACAAAGTCATCTGAGCTTTCTTTCTTCCTTTTGTAGTTTACTTTAATGATCTGATTAACCAATGGAGTACTGCATAAGGGCTGAATTGTACTTGCATCTCCACTTGGGAGTCTACTATACTGATTTTGCAGACTGTCATTATCTTAATTATCTTTGAGCTCTCTTCATGGTCGAATTTGGCCAGCAGGTTTTTAAAAGGCTGCTGGGAGAGCAGGTGAGCAGTGCAATTGCTTTGTTTCCTCAGGGAAACCAACTAAAAGGGGGGTGTGGTTTGAGGCTGAGCAAGCAGTGGAGGTTCCTGTTTTATGGCAGTCAGCGCTGCCTTGTTTCCAAGCCTGGTGCGGTTTCCTGGTTTCCAGCAAACTTGACTGCAACACCTCTGTGCCAGCTGAGAGGATGTGACCCTGGCTCCTCCTCCACCCGGTTTCTTTGTGCCAACGGGAATTTCCTGGGTGGTTTCCTTTATCCTTCTGCAGATGCTCTTCCCTCCCTCTGCTTCCCTGTGGCTGCATAGTAGTTTTCCTTGGCCTCTTTTTTTTTTTGTTGTCTGCTGCCTGCTTTTGGGGAGGTCAGACTTGAGTTGCAGAAATCTGACAAATGTCTTGTGTGGCTGCAGTGTATACACACTTTCTTGTTACTGTATTCTGATGGAGCCCTGAGAGAATTTTCCCTATCCATGTACAGAACCTACTTTCATTTTATTTTTACATAGTGGCAAATACATAGACAACTCCTTCTCAAAACCAAGTGTTTTAGCTCAACTCCAAAACAGGGAGAGTGCTTTCCATCAAAATTGCCCTGTTTGGCAGGGCAAGGCCTAAAGCTTGAGTCCATTTAGCTTGTATTTTGGCTGGTTGACTGCTGCACGACCATCTTAACACTAGAGATGTGTTTTTCCCTTTGTACTTCTCAGCAAGAGTATGTGTTCAGGAGGATGGACATTGCAGACACCTGTGATACTTAGTTCTTGAAATCACCAAATAATTTCAGTTGGAAAAGACCTTTGGTGGTCACCCAGTCTGACCACTTGCACTTGGTGTGATTGCTTCAGCTGTTGTCCATTTCAGTTGTGATGATGTCCAAGGGCAAGGACCCCACAGCCTCACTGGGCCCCTTCAAGTGATGATCACCCACAGGCTGAAAATAATTTCCTTGATAACTAATCAGAAGGTCCCTACTTCTTGATTGATTCCCCCCCACCGCCCAGGACTAAAGTGTTGAACTGTGTCGAGTTGTAGAACTGGATGCCCGTTCCCCTGGGAATGCCAGCAGTTTCAAACGAGTCTTTCTATGCAGAGTGATAAAAGCTGTTGAATTACTTGCATACTTTTCAAGTGTGAAGCTTCATTTTCATTCTTTAAGCAGAATTTCATATAGCACTTAGCAAGACAGTGCTTTCTTGACCCAAAAGATAAGCTGGTTTTAAAACTGTTCTTTGAATGTTAGAACACAAGGAACTGTTTGTGACTTAGTGTTAGCTTTATTAGTTGTGATTCTGAACTAAATACACAAACATTAGAACTCCTATCTTTGTTTTTCAAGCACATATTAAATAAATGTCAAAATTTCTTTCTTCTAAAAACACTTGATCATGATCCCATTCCCACTGGCTGCATATGCAGACGCTAGTGTGTGTGTATAAAAATATGACAGCATCAACCAGTCTGGCTGCTGAAAGAATCAGTCCTATGATTCATGTGCTGGTAAAATTTTAATCTTCCTTCCTGTAGAGCAAGACGGATCAGCTCTGTATGTGAACATATGAGAACAATTAGCAAAGATGACAAAGAAGTCATCTTTCTCTCACCAATAGATGTGCTGCTAAGAGATCAGAGACACAGCACACAGTCTGTGCTTCAGAGCCTGACAGATTTTTATTGCCAGGGGCCATTTTTCCCCCTGTTCTCCATATGCTTTGCTACTGTTTCTCTTCATCACCTGCATCAAATTGTTGCAGAAGGCAAAAAAAAAAACAAACAGGAAGAAGGGCATGATAGATAGGAATCTGTTATCCTTTTTGTGAGTGATCTTACGAAGGGGCGCATTGGGTGGCATGAACTGAAATAGCTTGGACTTGAATGTTTTTGTAATGCCGGTGGAGGTCTGAAGCGCCGAGCACGCTATTTGTAGCACCCCTGAGACTTGAGTTTCACTGCAGAAATCCATGAAGGATGAGGCAGTGTGTTCCTACGTGCTCTATATTGAGCACAGTGCCATGATTTTTGTTTCAGTGACCGCAAAGCTTGAATGTAGCCGTATGGGAGTTTCCTCAACCTCACCGCTTTCTGAGTCCAGGTGATATTCAAGAGAGTTCACATCCACCTGTAGCAATGGTTAACTTATTGCTATGTAAGAACAGAAAGCTTTTTCCTTAAAGTATTTAAAGAGGGGTGCTGGAACATCTCTCCGTGGCTGCCTGGTGCGTGGTATGGAAGAGGGTGCATATCCTGGACCAACTTAGTTCCAGCAAAAGTCATCCTTGAAGTGGAATGCTCTGCGGCTTGGTATTTCTCCCCATCTAGTAATCTCTCCTGGCTTTTTTCCTGGCAGTCCCAGTGGCACTAGCAATAGATGCGTGTGCTTAGGCACTGCTGCAACCACAGTGGGACATGCAGATGGATAACATCACAAAATCCACTAAATATAGTGCTTATAGGAATAAGATACTTAACCTTCAATCAGTAAATAATATAGTTACTTGTTTTGCAAGGTTTACAAAGATGATAAGACTGTAGTCATCAAGGATAAGTATCCCAAAGCACGTTACCACTGGCTTATCTTACCATGGGAACCCATTTCAAGCCTGAAGTCACTCACCAGGGACCATCTTGAGCTCCTGGAACATATGCACGCAGTTGGGCAAAAAATGATCGAACAGTGCCCTGCCAGAGAGAGTCTGGAGTTCAGACTGGGTTACCATGCTATCCCCAGTATGAGGTAAGACCTAGGTGAGTCATCAGGTGCAGACCCCGTTACACACATTTGGGACTAAATCTGTAACATGGTCTGGCATTGCTAAAGAATGACTAATCCTCCTAAATGCTGCAGCTGGGTGTCCAAGTCCTGCGGGTGCAGCTGTGCACGTGCTGCTGTGCACATGCTGGTGGGGACGCCCGCTGGGTTGCCCCGGTGGAGGTCCGCAGCTGGGGCTGCAGCCCAGTCCCGGCGACAGAGGTGGTGCTGGCAGTGGCCGAGTGCGAGGGCATCCCTCCTCCCAGAGCACTGATCTGGGATCAGAGGGTGACTTGTAAGCCCAGCAGGTCCTGCCTGATGCTGAGCAAGGACCTGAGTCTTGTGTGTAGGTAGGTCCGGGTCTTACAGCATCCAAATGCCCGTGGGTATTGCAGTCAGTGTTCCTGAGTTGTTCTCCCGTTCCTGGACGAAGCTTTGAGTCACTGGTCAAGCCCCATTCAGGTACTCTAGAAAGTATAAACCTTTGGTTTATTGAAACCACTGCCTCTGCCTGTTTGGAGACTTGCAGAAAAGTAGACTGTAGTTAGGGGCCGGTGGAACATGCAGACTGGTGACCTTGACTGTTTGGGTGAAACGCTTGGCATGAGACAGCGCTTCCAGAACAGGCTGGGTTTCTGCCGTCACAAGATGGTGGGTCAAACGTGGCAGGACTGGCCCACAAGGCTGGCAGTCCAACCCTGCTGAATCACGTTTGCCGCTGGTAACTACTGCAGAAGAACTTGGAGCATTAACATTCTTCTTCTCTCTTACTTACGTAACATATTTGTTTCAGTCAGCTACATTTGCATGTAATCAGCCAGGATTTTGATTCTCCGGCCTTGAAAACCAAAAAGCACTGGAACTCTTTTACTACAGACTACTTCTTAAACTCTCAAGGTAATGATTGGAAAAGGTATTTCATAACACGCAGTCCTGCTGGTGGGTTCTGGCTTTGGCTTTTTTCCCAGACTAATGTGTAAGCCGTAAATCCTGTTGTAATAAGTGAAAGGTTTTATGTCATTTCAGATACTGGGGAATAGCACTAAGTAAAAGTCAGCAGAATTTTGTGACTGGTTTAAATTAGAATGCAGCGATGACATGCTGTGCCTGCGAAGCAGTGCACAGAGATTCTGCAGTGTCATGTGTTTCATGACGCTACGTGGTCCCAGTGCCTCCCGTCTCTTTTGGTTTTTTTTTCAGATGTGATAGAGATGGTAAGAGGCAAAGGAAAGGTGGTGGTGAAGGATCACATCTCTGAACTTCTCAAATTGCCCCTCAGATGCCATTGTTGCAAACAACAGCTGTCCACTATCCCGCAGTTAAAGGAACATCTCAGGAAACATTGGCCAAAATGACTTTGCAAAAAATCTTCGTACAACCTGTCTTCAGATTTCAGGCTAAAACAAAGACCTCAAAATGTTAGTGGATGTGTATGTTTTTTGTTAACTGGAATGACAGATGTAACGTGGGAAAAAGTAGCCTGGAAACAGCAGTATACTAACTTTGTAATAGCTTAAACAAAAAAAACCCAGCATAAAATAAAGTGACTTCTGAAACTGTAGGTGTGTTTGCAGCTTTGTTGTGGTACTGTCACACTGATCTGTGTGTGAACCGAAGTCTGGAAGAAGTGTTTTGTTTGGATGAAAGGATTTATTTTAATTGAGAAGCTGAGGTGTGGAGCCCAGTTCTCGGCTTCTACTGAGAAAGGAAAAAAAAGCAAACAATGATTTAGAGGTCTTTCTCTTGATGACTGAAGCTTCTCTTAAGTGATAATGTTGCAGAGGCTGGTGCGGCTGACTGAAAAACTGTCAAAGGAATCTGTGAGAGTGTATGGGAAGGAGCATCAGCTGCAGCATTCCCACCTCGCTGTGCCACTGCATGGCTTGAAGGTTTCCATGCTGCTGAGCTCCTCAGCTATGGAGCAGGCATCGCTCCTCGCCAGGGTGCCAGGGCAGTCACTGCTCAGGCTCTAAGAGGGACAGCCTCTCTCTTTCATGTACAAGGATGTATTTAATCATTTCTACATAAAATACATCTGTAATGCACAATGACCAGCTTTGCCGCTCCCCAGAGTAATAAACTATCAAGGTTTGCAGTTGCTTGGCTGCATGTGTGAAGGTTGGTACAGAAACTGTGTGGTTTAACGCTGCCCTGTTTCTCCACACTGGGATTTTGGTGAGCCCCTATCATTGGACTGTTGTTGAGATGTGAACTCTCCGACAGGCAGCAGACCAGTAGTAACAAAAATCCATTTCTGGGTCCGGAACTGGTGTGCAGGGTTCGGTTTCATTCTAGGCCCAGCTGTGACTTGCTAAGTCAGATGCCCCCTGGGTGAAACGGCTTTCAGTAAAAGAGCACAGACGGCTTTCGTTACACAAGGAAAATGTTTGTAACGCTGAGGAGAGGGTGTCCTCTTCCCCCACGCTGCAGCATGTCACTACGCCCACCCCGATGGGGCACACAGTCACTTGCTGCTGCCGGCAAAGAACAAGGATGTTGCTGTAGTGCAATGGGGGACAGTAAAGGTGAGGGGCTGGCTGCGGCCTAATTTCAAACACCAGGCACACTTTATTTTTTGCTGGCGTAACATTATGCCTTAATTTAGAAAGCATAACTTACAAAAAGAGAGGAACAATGGCAAAAGCGCAGCCAGTCTAGGGATCTCAATCTTGATGCGGTTAAACTAGGGCTTCATCCCCCCCTGCTGAGGTGAAGTTGTGCTAATGCTGAGCCAAGGAACCATTCTGGACCAAAAGCGGTTGCAAATGCTGGAGAACTGTGGTCTTCCTCACGTGGCAGATGCAGGCCAGAAAGGAAAGCCATGCTGCTTCGCAGTTAAATGTGCTGGTTGTGCCCCACAGCGCGTCACATCTGGGTGGGTGCCAGGCTTCTTAGTGCCTCTCAGAGCACAAACACCTGCACTCCACCCATACAGGAACGGCACGCCACTGACTAAGCCATGGCTGTCACACACTTGCATGCAGAGCACTGGTTTCTAAGGGGCGAGCCGACACGTGATGTCATAAGTCAGTGACATCGGTAGAACCACTGCCACTAGGGCTCCAAGCACTGCTGGCCGCAGGTGGAGCGGTGGCAGGGCAATGCTACCAAGAAGCGTCTCCAGCACTTCACACTTCACTGTGTGAAGCCACAGCTGCACAGCAAAGGTCTGCAAGAATGGCAGCAAAGGACAGAAGCCCTCTGAGAGCTACGAGGGACAGCCACGTATCTGCAACCAAGAGTGACCTCAAGGCCAGGAAGGAAACCAAAGCAGTAGTTGTAGATATTGGCACAGGTTACTTCAAGTGTGGCTTTGCAGGGGACCCATGGCCTTCCTCTGTTGTTTCATCTACAGTTGGTAAGCCCATGAGGGAGAATGGGAGCAACCAAAAAGCAACCTTCGTTGGAAGAGAGCTTCAGAACAGCAGCATACCCTTACCACTCATCAAACCAGTAACACGTGGCACAGTGGTGGACTGGAACTGTGTCCAAGATATTTTGGAGTATATTTTCCAGACGGAGATGAAGATTCAGCCAGAGGACCATGCTGTTCTAGTGTCGGTGCCTCCCCTGTGTTCCATCACTGACAAGGAGAGATACGCCGAGATGATGTTTGAAGGAGTTCACGTGCCTGCTGTCCACATTGCCTACCAGTCCCTTCTATCCATGTACTCTTACGGAAGAACCTCAGCTCTCGTTGTGGAAAGTGGCCACGGTGCTTCGCATGTGGTTCCCATCTATGAAGGCTATATTATACGTAGCATCTTTGGGAGAGCAGATTATGCTGGCTTGGACATCACACATTATCTCATGAAGTTACTAAATGAGTCTGGAAACGCATTCACAGACCACCAGGTGAACATCATACAAGATCTCAAAGAGAAGTGTTGTTACACTTCCCTGGACCTCACACAGGACTTGAGTTTGCCTGTTCAGATGCAACAAATGGATTACCAGCTGCCAGACGGACGCCTTGTCACTGTAGGCAAGGAGAGGTTCCTCTGTGCTGAAGCGCTCTTCAAACCAGCCTTACTTGGCTCACAGCAGCCAGGGCTATTGCAGCTGACACTCTCCTGTCTCAAGAAGTGCAGTGCTGACATCAACAAAAAAATGGTGGGGAACATCCTCCTGTGCGGTGGCAGCACGATGATGGAGGGCTTTGCCAACCGCTTCCAGATGGAACTGGCCAGGTTGTGCCCTAATGACAACTTCATCATGGCCGCGTCCCCTCAAAGACAGTCGTCTGTCTGTATTGGTGGCTCTCTCCTGGCCTCACTCTACTCTTTCCAGGACCTCTGGGTTGACAGGAGTGAATACGAAGAACATGGTTCTTCCTGCATTTTTAAGAAGTGCTTCTGAGGATGACACTGGGTGCCTTAGAAAGACCAGTGTTGACAATGTGTACCTCAACCAGTTTGAGAGGACCTCCCTGATGTCCCTTGCTGTAATTAAGAGATTTCTGCTGGAACTGTATTACTTTTGTGATATTGTGTGTCTGAAATAATAGGTTTTTTCTTTTGTATTTTCTATTTAATGAAGCTAGACAGCAGGCAACTGACAAACCTCTAATGAGACAATCAGGCTTCCATACAACCACATTTGCTTAGATATTGGGACATTTCTTAGGCTAACTCCGTATTTCTGCATTAATGGCTTGCTTCTGTTTCTGATAACTGCATCTGCTTGTAAGAGCCTCCACAGAACTCACAAATTCAACATGTCTCTAAAGACAGCAGCTAGGCCAGAACACATTCCAAGATGACAGGCATCACTAAGAAAGCAAAGGAGCGTCCTAGCAGAAACGAAGGGCAAGCAGGCTGCTGGCTGCTGCTGAAAATAAGGTTCAGCA